TACATAATATTGCATTAAAATTTAAGATTTCATTGAAACATTTGTTATAAATATCACATATTATTTAACTAGCCTATCTTTGCATTATCTAATGTAACGAAAAAGACCTGGATTTTTTTATTTTTATAAAATCAAAATAATAGATGAAAATAATAGATGAAGCAATATATAAATCCGTGCTAAGTATGCTGCTAAAGGCTTATCAAAGTTTATATCAATGTTATAAATTTTTTTATTTTTATCATACGTTTCTAATTTTGAATCGTATTAATATTGTAACAAGCGCCGCATATCCTAAAAGTCGTATCTACAGTTGTAGCAAAACACCACTACTGTAACGCTATCGTATAACATCGATATTACCGCGAATTTAATGCAGTACTCCGATCGTACATTATGTTGATATTAACTTGATTTACACGGTGCAAGCTATTTGCCTGTAAGTATAGTCAATAGTATAGTCAATAGTATAATCAATAATAGCATCGAAACTACATCTATTAAGCTGACATAGCCACTTCAGCACAATCGAATAAAAGTTGCACAGAAATTTAGTACTTTTTTGTTGCTAATTTGTTGCTCTTTTCCCGATTTTGTTACTCCAGCCAATTTCGAAAAAACAATGGCTGTGCTAGCATAAGAATAAAGTTAGCACAGCCACTCAAAAAAATAAAAAAAAATTAAAAAATACAGCATATTCTTTTTGTGCTAATTTGTCGCTAATTAGTTCAATTAATTGCTTTTTATAGAGCAAAAACATATTGAAAAAATGGTACTGTTAAACAATTATCTATAAATAATCAGAACTGCACCGACAGGCGTCAAAATCACACAACAACAAAATCGAATTCATCGCAAATCGCGAACAACAAAATCAGAGAACCGTAAACAGTCGAAATATTTCAAGAATTAACAATTTATAGGTAGTGTGCTGACTCGGGTGATTTTCGAGAGGGGATGAAGTAACAGTATTGGGCAGTGAGCAACTAATTAGCAACAAATTAGCACAAAAAGAATATGCCGTATTTTTTTTTATTTTTTTGAGTGGCTGTGCTAACTTTATTCTTATGCTAGTACAGCCATTGTTTCTTCGAAATTGGCTGGAGCAACAAAATCGGGACTAGACCAAATTAGCAACAAAAAAAAAACACTAAATTTCTGTGCAACTTTTATTTGATTGTGCTGAAATGGCAGCTTAATGAATATAGTATAATATAGTGTAATATAGTCCTCAAAATGCATTTCTTACGCATAGTTGTATATGCTTGTCGCTCGCAATAATTACCAATTATATAAATTATTATTATTATACTAGATAGACATAAACAACTATACGTAAGAAATGCATTTTAGGAACTGTTGTACATATTTATTAATTTTAGGGATATATATATATATATATATGTGTGTGTGTAAATTTATATTGTAAGAAATCGATTAAAATAACGTTTTTATTCGAACATTGAAAATAACTTAATAGGGGTCGAAACGTGTTATATTTAATTATTATTATTTATTCTCACAGAAATATATATTTAGAATAAACCAACTTGGCTTGTAGCTCCTTCCAATTCAATTTATTATTTATTGTTTTAATTAAATTAATGAGATATTGAATAATGGCGACTTATAGGAAGGATTAAAGATAACTTAAATTGAGTGTAATGTGATATTAAAATTTAACAGTGTATGCACAGTAAATTCCACAAATTCGGAATTAAATTTATCCTAATATATCACAACTTATCCATTTTAAAGCAACGGATGTTATATATACATTTATCAGTTAATTTTTATTAAATTGATTCATATATGCATTTAGATATATGTATGATATATCAATAAAATTATTACATATCCGTTGCCTCAATAAAAACATTAATTTATCACTCACCAACCGATGCGCAACAGTGGAGTTAAATCTGCAACGCTACGATGATTCTGTAACAAATAAATTAAAGTTCAAATTAAAACAGAATAAAGAAATAATCATTTAACTTTAAAAAAATAATTGCTATACGAACGTATGCAGTTTACTAAAAAATAATCATGCAATTTTGGAAATAATTTTTGTAAGCATCGAATTGTACCATTATTTAATTAGAGATAAAACAATTATATAATCACTAAAATAATTATATATTTTTTCTAAAATAATTACCTATATATTCTCTAAAGAAGATCTTAGCAAAAATAAATTTGTTTAAAATTTTAAAGTAATTTAAATAATATTTTAAAATTGTAAACAAATTAATTTTTGTTAAGATCTTCTTTAGAGACTACATATATAATTATTTTAGAAAATGTATATAATTATTTTATCTAAATTTTGAATAACTTTCCTTTTATCTAAATTAGATAAAAGGAAAGTTACTTAAAAATTACTTACAAATTTTATACAAATT